GGCCTGGGAACCCTGTGGACGCAGATTCTAAGCCGTGTTGCTTCGGACAAGCCACTGCCTTTTTGAGCCCATGTCTTCTCTGCAGAATGGGCTGCGTTGATAGTTTTGTTGTGAGGATGAAGTAAGAGAATTAAGCACTTAGTAAGCACGTGGTGCTTAGTAAGTTTCTAAACAAAGGGTAATGTGCTCTTATAAGGAACACAGCAGTAGAGAAGTGTCCTTCCTTCCCTCCCTTCCTTCACGTTATACTTTCAATGACAGACTCTATGGGGCACCTGCAAGGTACCAGATGCTGTGTGGGATGCTGGGCATTTAGAAATGAACCGAACAGACATACTCAGGAAACAGACGTTGCATGCGTAATTAGGGAAGTGATGAGTTTTTTGGACCAGGAGGAGGAAGATTTGCCTGTTCCCCGGGCTGGAGTGCTGCGGTCACACAGCACTGCCCTGGGGTAGTGACATTACAGTGGCCCTGAGACGGTGACCCCACAGCCCATGGGATTCTCCCAGTATGGCCCTGGCATAGGTTTTGGGAGACTCCCTACAAGCCTCTGCCTTTTGACTTGCCTCCTTCATATATGCTCTTCAACTCTGGGGTGAGATGAGACAAAAAAGAGGCAATAAAAATAAATAAACATCAAGCTTCTGCTGGAATATGAAGCCCTTTTCCCAGCAAACCTAGCTGCAGGAAGATAGGGACACATTAGAGAGGCCAGCTGAGCAGGGTTCAAGCGACAGGTGATGGTCGTGAGACGCAGGGCAGCCCCTTTCCTGGTCTGGGCCTCTACTCCTCCATCTGTGCAGGTGCCCCAGTCACCTCATTGGCTGGTGAATGGGCTCTGGCACTTTCACTGCCTGCTGCTTCCATGTGCTTATAGCTTTGAGGCAGCTTTATGCTAATTTGATGTAGATGGTGTGCAGGATCGCCTGTGGCCTTCCATCTCGCCCCCTGCGGGTGCATCCCCTGAGGTCAACCCCTAGTACCACACGGATGTTGCCGACTTCAGACCAACTCTCACTGTTTCTTTCACTGTGTCTCTCTGTCTTCCTGGAGAGGCACGGGGAAGGATGGCATGGAGGTGTGGTGGGGTTCACCTGTGTCTTCCCAAGGACAAACACCGTTCCTTGTCCGGTATGGAGACACACAGGGGACGATCCTCCAAGCATGCAAAAATTGGCAGTGACATGAGGCGTCCAATTCAAATCAACATGTGTTTTTGAAGCATCTCCTACTTACAGGGAACCATTCTAGCAGTGAACAAAAGAGCTCTTAAATTGTAGCGGGGGGATCATTTACTCCTAACCCCTCCTTTTTCAGAGAAGGGAAATGAGACCTGGCAGCATAAGAGGTGGTGTGACTTGTCCCCAGGCAAGGTCATCCAGCAAGCTGAGCCCAGATCTCTGGTCCCAGATACCCGGTTCTGGGCTGGTGATACATTGGTGCCTCCCTTCCAGCCCTCTGAAATGTGACTACCGTTGATTACGTTATTTTTGTACAGAAATAAATCCCATTCACCACTACACCCCACCCCCATCCCTATTGAAGTTCAGTGATTTCCTTTCACCACTAACACTCCAGGTAAATATTTCCCTCTGAACTTCTGAAGCTACTGCTTCAAGGTCCTCATTTCCCTTAACGTGCTTCCTCTTGGTTCCACTGAAAAGAGAAAAGAGAGGGTTCTCTTTGCCCTTCCTCTCTGCTTCCTGGGGCTAAGCCACCTCTTGGTCCTTCGCTCCGCGTCGCAGAGTGTAGCCTTTCTCACTGCTACCCTCTTATCTCTCAGCTGCAAACGGAGGTGGCCAGAGCCCGGGTCCCCAGCCCCGGGAAGGTCCTGAACTGAGGGCACCCTACAGATGTGTAAACAGTTTACCTTGCTAACCCAGCCAGCCGCCTTCCAAAGGCAACAGGAAAACCAGGACTGAGAGCCCCTGGCAAAATAAAAACCTGCAGAGAGAGAGAGAGAGAGAGAGAGAGAGAGAGAGAAAGAGAGAGGGAAAAGGATCCTGTTTCAGATGTGAATTTTCTCATTAGAAGAATTTTCTGTTTTAAGGGGGAGGGGTTGGCCAGGGGAGGAAGAGAAGGTGAGCTGAGAGGTGGGATGGGGGGCCCAAGAGGGGAGTGCTCCAGGGGCCTGTGCGCTCCTGCTTCCCGTAGCCAGCAGCAGACCTGGGGGAGCTCGTTCCAAACCTGGAGTCAGAGCTTTGGCCTCGGTCAGTGGGGAGGTCGCTTTTAACATGCAAGCCTCATAATGGTAGCAAAGCCAAAGGGGGTTTATGATTTCTAAGTAGAGTTTGCCAGTGGATTTGAGGAGGACTTGTGCTTTTTTGAGCCCTCATCCTACCAGCTCTTGATATATAAGTCAAGATGCCTTTAGGGTACCCTCTCTCTCTGGTGTTTCTGTATTTTGTTTTTAGTCATTTTCTACTTTTCATCCTTGACATCACTCCCAGACCCTCCAGCATCTTAAAAATGAACTCCCATTTGGACAGCCACTGTATGCCGAGGGTAGTATAGCCACTATTGTCTTTTAAGTATGACAACGTACGTAAAGAGAGGTACAGATGAGGGAATTAAGATCCACAGAGGTGAAGCGATCTGCCCCCGATGTACAGCCGGTAATTGCTGTCATCAGAATTACCCGGAGTCCAAAGAGCCTGCTCTTTCTACCTGACCAAGAACACACTCTGTCTTCTGATTCTCTCTGTCCTTTATCCAGGGGGACATAAATCAGTGTCTTTGATTCTGTTTGTCCTTTTCTCTTCTCCCACTCTGTTTAGAATCCTTCATGTGCTCACTCATGAGACACCTGCTGAGTGCCTGCTGTGTACAAGGGCATACATAGTGCAAGGTTCTGGACAGGGTACAGATGACCCAGGCAGAGCCGTCACTCTCAAGAGGCGTCCAGTCTAGGGGAGACTCCAAAACCAGAGAACACGTGTCTAGTTTCCGAAAAGTAAAATGAATTCAGAGGAGAGAATGATTGCTCCTCAGAGGACCATCAGGGAAAGCTTCTTGGTAGAGGTGGTTTCTGTGTTAGCCATTGGGAAACTGGGGAACACAGAATATCAGACTTGACCAAGCATGTGGGGGGAACCTCATTCAGTCCCCTCCTTTTCCAGGTAGAGAACCAAGACCCAGAGGAGGTACTTGGTGCTTCCTCAAGGTGTGAGAGCAGGTTGATGTTGTAGGAGACCCTGGCCATTACGTGAAGGATTATAGGACAGGAGTGGTGGTAGGAGAGGTGTAGGCAGACTTAGATGCCTGGCCAAAACTGCCATCTGTGTCAGCTGCTAACAGAGAGATTTACACAAATTCTAAGGCCCCAGTGACCACAGAGGAGTACAGACTGTGTGGGCCTCCTCTACCGATTTTGCTGGAAGCCGTCTGTGCTCATTTCATGAGTGCTAATGGCAGATGCACACTCAAAGTTGTGGTGACCGCAACAATTCTCCAGCTGAAAGTAGGGACTGTGCTTCTAAATGAGCATCTTTTATTCATTCTCCTGTTCCTCTCTTTCTCCTCCCACCTGGCCTCATACATCATCCAACACTTGAAATACACTCTTAATTAGAAAGTCTTCTTTCCCATCCAACTGGCTGTCCATGCCAAGGACACTGGGTATATTCCAGAAAGACTGGGAATGGGGGTTGGTGAGTATAAAAATAATTAGATCCAGAGAGAATCTGCTAAGTGACTTCCTGAGGTTCCCAGAGTAAGTCTAGAGATGTCTGGCTTGGAACTTTCCCAAACACCCAACTAAACCTTGGGACACCCCCAGGCAGGTGTGGTTTGATCCAGATAGATCCCTGGTGGCACTGATGAGGGAGAGGGAGGTACCATAGAGTTAGTCCCTAGGACAGTGGACCCAGGGTCTGATGGATCTGGGGTCCGCTCACCAACCAGTTGACCTCAAACCCATCCATCTCTTTACTTCCTTCAATTTCTGTTTCCTCCTCTGTTAACGTAATATCAGCACCTTGGGGGTGCTACACGGATTAAATGAATTAATGCATACACAGACCTTAGCACAATGCCTGACCTGCTATAGCGGCTTGGAAGATTTTACTTAATGAAGGCATCCCCAACATCTTTTTATGTTAAGAGGATGCTTCTTATTTTTTGAAATATTAGCATTAGTGTTAGAGAAAAGCAAGCTTGAATTGGCTCTCAGGAAATTTGTCAGTGACTCTGTGTAACCTAACAAATGCCTTCCGTTCGCTGGGTCTCAACTTCCTTACCTTTCAAGCGAAGGAGTTGAAAGTGTTTAAAAACCTTCCCAGCTCAGGTAGTAAGCATGTCCGCCTTTCTTTGGGGGTGAATGTCGGGGCTAGCCAGGACTCCTGTTACAGACAGAAGCTTTACTAGTAGCTTTGCAGCCCTTGACCCTCACTTCTCCAGGGAACCTTCCCAGCAATCCACCACCGCTGATCATTGATGAGTGCTGGTGGCTGATGTACGCCCAAAGTTACGGTGACGGTAGTCAGAGCTGTCCTTCTAAATGAGCGTCTTCTGTTCATCGTCATCTCTTTGATTGTTCTCTCACCTCTTCCTCTCACCACCTATGTCATTCTACACTTAAAATATGCTTTTAATTAGAAAAGTCCTCTTCCCCATCCAACAGTTTTGCAAAATCAAAGGTTTTCAGATTTTAGTTATTATCACTGTTGTTTTCTTTAGCTCAAGTACCTATTCTGCAAACAAACACCTTTCCTGTATGCCCCATACTCAGAACCAAAAACAGTGAAACCACATGGGTTAAAGTTGTGGTGAGAACCTCCCAAAGGTAACTCACCTGTGTTCTCCCTTCCTCTAGCCCTTGCCTTGCCCTAGAGGTGGTCCCAGAGGCTTGGCTAGTCACTGCCAGGATCCCACTGAGCATGGTTTGAAAACTTCCTGGTCTAGGACATCCTGATATAAATTTTATCAGAGAGAAATAACTTACCCTCCTCCTTCCTCCATCCTTTATTTATTCATCTTTCTCTTTTGGGGCCACATAGGGCTATATGACAAATGTTCTTATGCCTCACGTGACCGAGGATGGGTCGTGGGCATTCACACCGTCAGTGACCAAGGCAACAGAGACCCACGCTACTTTTTCTCCTTGAAGACAGACCGGGCCCGGCAAGTGACCACCATCAATGCCCACCGCAGCTACCTCCCAGGCCAGTGGGTACACCTGGCTGCCACCTACGACGGGCGGCTGATGAAGCTCTATGTGAACGGTGCCCAGGTGGCAACCTCTGGGGAGCAGGTGGGTGGCATTTTCAGCCCACTGACCCAGAAGTGTAAAGTCCTCATGCTGGGAGGCAGCGCCCTGAACCACAACTACCGGGGCTACGTGGAGCGCTTCAGCCTGTGGAAGGCGGCCAGGACGCAGCGCGAGGTCCTGCTGGACATGGAGACCCGCGGCCTCCACGCTCCTCTACCTCAGCTCCTCCTGCAGGAGAACTGGGACAACGTGAAGCGCGCCTGGTCCCCCATGAAGGACGGCAGTAGCCCCCGCGTGGAGGCCAGCAGCGCCCGTGGCTTCCTGCTGGACACGAGTCTGGAGCCTCCTCTGTGCGGGCAGACGCTGTGTGACAACCCCAAGGTCATCTCCAGCTACAACCAGCTGCCGCGTTTCCGCCGGCCCAAGGCGGTGCGCTACCGCGTGGTCAACCTCCACGACGATGGCCGCGAGAACCCCACGGTGAGCCGCCAGCAGATCGATTTCCAGCACCGGCAGCTGGCCGAGGCCTTCAAGCACTACAACATCTCCTGGGAGCTGGAGGTGCTGGAGGTGAGCAACTCATCCCTGCGCCGCCGCCTCATCCTGGCCAACTGCGACATCAGCAAGATCGGGGACGAGAACTGCGACCCCGAGTGCAACCACACGCTGACCGGCCACGATGGCGGGGACTGCCGCCACCTGCGCCACCCCGCCTTCGCCAAGAAGCAGCAGAACGGGGTGTGCGACATGGACTGCAATTACGAGCGGGTCAACTTCGACGGCGGGGGGTGCT